TGTTTTATTTTGAAAAATTACCGGATTCTCCGTTACATCCGTCTGTGTTACGCTTGACACACGTCAAGCCACGCTTCTCCTTCACGTGACCGATTACTTCAAAACAAAACGCAGGAGCTCGCAAAATGAGTAAAAAAAACTGCTGGAGATCGCAAATGACGGCGGCCTTAAAAGTACGTTCGAGACAACTGGATTAAAGTTATGGCTGAATACTCTGAGATGGCCACAATAGCACTGTTGCTATTTCCGACATCCTACCTGTGTGATACGGGGGGTTTCTGCAGCAACGGCGACGAAAACAAAATTACGAAGTAGACTGGACATAAACCACACACTTGAGGTGTCATTGTCTCCTATTACCCCGAGATGGGACCGTCTGGTTGCAGAAAATCAAGCTCGGTGCTGTGGTGAGTCGTCATTTTCATGCACTTTGAATTTGCGTTGTATTGTATTTTGAAGGCATTAAACATTGCCATCGCGATCGGAGTGTTGCGGCCAGATTAGACGCTCTTTGTGTTTATTATTATATTTCGAAAACGCCACAGTTTTCATGCAGCTCATACCATCTTATTTTGTTGTATTATTTCCGCCACACCTTAAATGCCGGTCCCTGAAAATATTGTCTGACATAAACCGGTCCGTGGGGCAAAAAAGGTTGGGGACCCCTGCTTTATAGAACCACCTTTTGCTGCGATTACAGTGCAAGTCTTTTGGGGTTTGTCTCTGTCAGTTTGTGGAAACTGAAATATTTGCTCATTCTTCCTTGCAAAACAGCCCAGCTCAGGTACATTAGATGAAGAGAGTTTGTGAACAGTAGTTTTCAGATCTTTCCACAGATTCTCAAATGGATTCAGGTCTGAACTTTGACTTGGCCATACTTTGGCAACTTTATTATTCTTAGTTTTGAACCATCCCATTGTAGATGTTGCTTGATGTGTAGGATCATTTTCTTGTTGGCTCTGTTGTCTCTTTGGTGCATAGCGCCAACTACAGTACAGGCTAAATTTGAATGAAAAGCAGCAGAGAAAAGAAACAAAATTATTATCCTAACCCTAACCCATTTACTGTATGTACAAAAAACATGCACCTTCGAATATTTTAACCATTTTTGTCAAAAAGTATATTTTTAAATACACAATTAAACATAATTGATATTCGTACGTGCATGGCGGCAAGCAGTAGGTCTTGCTATACTGTACTGAAGCATTTTTAAAACTTGAAAAAGGAACAATTCAATGAATATAGCCTCCTAAAAATTATGTATAAAGCTCGTCGCCAACTTTCACCAAATAGCCTACAAAACAGGTTTAAAAAGAGAGAAAGTATTTACAAATTAAGAGGAACCGATTTATTTTTTTCCGCAGCATAAGACAACAAACCAAAAGGGAAGGTGAGTTTAAATGCATGGCGTCAGTTTGTGGAACAATCTTGTCGAATTAAAATGCCTCAGTACTTTTGCATTTTTAAGAAATGTGTAAAAGCGCAATTATTATAAATGATAAATTAGGGGATTGAATCAATTTTGTTACGTATTGTAAAATTATGTTTGTAAGTATACCTTGACTAGAGATGTCATTCATTTTGTATTGATAAGGGGTAGATAAATTGTTTTTTTTTTCTTCCTGCCTCCTTTCATTTCTTTTAAAGAATGAAATAAATGAAAAGAAAAGGAAAGGACTGCCTCCCTTGCACAGCCTCTTTGGTGCCCATGCATTACAAGAGTACCGGGAATAGCTTTTAAGGTTTTGATGGTATGATGTTAATTTCATTCATTCATTTCAATCTTTTGTAAAAAATAAATAAATTACTGTGCCGAGTTTGACTCTCACAAATTCATGAATTTAATCGAAATCGCAATATCTGCCAGAAAAATTGTAGTTTAATCTTTTCCAAAAATCACTCTGCCTTAATGTGGACTGTCTTTTATGTGGAACTATTATGTTGCTTTGGTCTGACAAAAGAAATTCAACAGAAAAAAAGAAAAAAAAAACAGACAAAATATCAAAATAACTGCAGTTGCTCGACAAATAAAAAGTGCAAACCATACCAGATAAGTGTATCTTTAATAATGAATATGATCAAATATAAGAATGTGATAGTGACCTCTGATACAATGACATTTAATTCAGGGGTGACATTAAACTTTTTTTGCATACTTTTTCAATAATCCAATACTGTTATATAGCTCTGGTCGCACCGCAGTCATACTCCTTCTCTCTTTACTTTTTTGCACATGCGCTCTCGCTCTCACACACACACACACACACAACACTGCAAGTTATTAAAAAAAAGGGGGGTGGGGGGAACAAAGAAAATAAGAAAAGAACATCACAAACAGAGCATATAGGCTAGCCTCTGGGTTTCAATACACGTACGGTAAATCAGTTAAGTATAATGCTACAGTTAAACATTTGAGGCGTTTGCAGTTACAAATGCCAGTACATTAAAGCTTATATTATCTGATGGCAATGAGAGGGGAGGAGAGGGGAAAGGTCACAGCGATGAAACTGATGCCAATATTAATAATTGGTGAGTCAATAAAGAACGAGAAACAAAAGCAAAAGCAAGTGACAGTTTGAAAAGCAGTACATGCTACATCTCCAGAATTTGACAAGACGCAAAAAAAAAAAAAAAAAAAAGAAAAAGAAAGCTACCAAGATGGGACATTGATCAGTTACGTTCACTTTTGAATAAGAAAGAGCGGGACCACCTTGAGAAGCGCAATTTCCCTGAAACGACGTCACAAATGAAATCAATCCCGATCCGCTCTGCTGAAAAGAAACGTTTTAAGGCTCTGCGCTGGAGATGCACAAACGCTCTCAAGCTCGATGCTCCATTTCATATGAGCCGCATCTTTCCAAACCATTTCCTCACTGCACATTCCTAAAGCAAACGTGAGAAAAATATTTTGTCATAATACTAAACACAAGTGACCAGGCACGCACGCACGCGCACAAAAAGCAGACGTTTTGTCAATAGTGTTGTTCACTCGCAAGATTCACCGACACAAGCACGTCACATTTGTCCAACACACAAACCACAAAGTGAACAGTCACTGAATATCAGCAGCGTGTTGTCATGAGATCTTAAAAATCAGACGTGCACACGTGTTATTTAGTCCATGAATGATGCAAGTTCCAGGGCAGCGAGAAGCCAAAAAAAAAAAAAATACACAAAGTATGTAACACTGAAGAAACTTCACACTTCCTCAAGATGGTGCTCAACGTTTGCAGGGTCCGAGGGGGAGGGAGGGGTGCCAGAGTGGGCCCAAATTAAATAGAAAAAATATGAAGTCTTCAATATTCTCCTTGTCCGTATGTTGCCGTCTTTGTTTTTGTTAAATGGGAATTTCATTCGAGTGCCCATCCCAGCAGGACTTGCCACAGAGCGAGCGTTCCACCACGGGCGCCGCTTACTTCTGACGATCCTGCGAACACAGAGGGAAGGCGGCCTCGGTGAGCTTACGCAGAGGCATGACAAACACGGTGAGAGGTACACCAGTTTATTGACTGACAACTAATCAAATATTATCAGCAAGACTGTGATAGTCAATCAATGGTTTGGAAACACTCGACCTCATTTCACCTAAAATTGTGAAAATCCCCTGAATTTCAGTCTCTTAGCAGTCACCTTCACCAATTTCTGTAGACCTTCAATCCTAGTTGAATCAAAACAAGACATTTGCAAATATCTGTTTTCACTTGAGAATACAATCAACATGTTGGATTCAGAATGAATTTGTTTGTGCATTTTCTGCAGTATTCATTTGAAATAGCGTCCCGTTTTTAAATAAAGGGATGGAAATGAAAGTGCTTTTTCAATCCAATTCATCTGAGAATAATTGGCAAGTCAATCGAGCATTAAAATAATTGTTAGTGGCAGCCCAAGTTGCAACAATACACTGAAGAAAAGATAACTGCAACACTCATGATTTAGGTTCCCATTTTTTTCGAGATCCCCACCTTTTTCTGTGCACGCAGAGGCCTACTATATTTCCGTCTAAAATCTGTGAGCATTTCCCCTTCGCCATGTTCATCCATCCACCTCACTGGTGGTGCATATCAAGATGCTGATTATAAAGATTGATTATTATATTGCTGAGCCTTGGCTGCCCACAAGAAAAGACCGCTCTGAAATGTGCAGTTTTACTCCATTGGGGGAGTTTGGGGCACCTAAGCATCGGTGTCCAACGTGCGACACGCATGCCAGTTTGTTCAACCATTTCCTGTACGGATGTGCGGCTAAAAAAAAAACAGTTTGTGAAGGTATTTGGTACACATTCAGGGCTTGACGCAAGCAGCCGCCAAATGTGCCAGAGTATTTCCTTTCTTTTAATTTGCCTCATCAGAAATTGACATCAGAAATGATGTCTGGAATGCTGGTGCAGGCTGCAACCTTGACTAAGAGTTGAAAGTATTTGAACCCTTTCATGCACAAAAAATAACAACCTGCGACCTGATAAGCTGTCCACTGTAGTAACCGCTGTCCCTGAAAGGGTTAATGGACTTTACTTTTATTGTGCACATACACTGGCCCCCATAATTATTGGCACCCCGGTTAAGATATACTCTTTATCTTAGCTAATAAATACATTTTTTTCCAGAATAACATTGACCCAATTAAAAAAAAAAGCGGAATATACAACTTTTAATTCACCGTATTTTCCACACTAAAAGGTGCACTGGATTATGAGGCGCACCTTCAATGAATGGCCTATTTTGTAATTTTTGTCATATACAGCAGGGGTCCCCAACCTTTTTTGCCCCACGGACCGGTTTATGTCAGACAATATTTTCAGGGACCAGCATTTAAGGTGTGGCGTAAATAATACAACAAAATAATATGGTATGAGCTGCATGAAAACTGTGGTGTTTTCGAAATATAATAATAAACACAAGGAGCGTCTAATCTGGCCGCAACACTGATCGCTATGGTAATGTTTAATGCCTTCAAAATACGATACAGCGCAAATTCAAAGTGCATGAAAATGACGACTCACCACAGCACCGAGCTTGATTTTCTGCAACCAGACGGTCCCATCTCGGGGTAATAGGAGACAATGACACCTCAAGTGTGTGGTTTATGTCCAGTCTCGTAATTTTGTTTTCGTGTGACCTGACGTGAGCCAAGCGTGACAAAGACGGATGTAACGGAGAATCCGGTAATTTTTCAAAATAAAACATATTTCGTCTTCCGAAATAAATAAAACGGAATTAAGGCAAGTTCTTTCTGTGCGGCCCGGTACCGGTCCGCGGACCGGCGGTTGGGAACCCCTGATATACAGTAAGTATTCTCTAGTAAGGAATCCTATTTACGCTGTCCAATCCTTCCTGATAACAGAATTTCCATATGTGTGATACAACTATGGTACATGTACTTTATGAACATGCAAGTATGTGAACAAAATGCATGTGTAACAACACAAGCAATGAAATGCAAAAATATATGCTCCAAACACTTTTTATAACACAAAAGCTGCAGTATATGGTACAGGTATATGAACAAAATACAGAACAGTATAACCAACTCAGGGGTATTTGCTACAAAATTAGACGAGTAACAGACCTGGTGGCTTTCTTTCCACCATCTCACTGTCTCTAACTCAACCTCCCCTCGATCACTACACAAGACAGCGTTGCTCAGCTGATGTCGTGCAATGAACTTTGAAAGCCAGCCACGGGACGCTTTGAAGTCCTCGATGCCCACAGTTAGCGCGATGGAATTCGCCTTCTCTCTAATTAGCGCTCCAGTTAGCGGAAGCATGATTACAGGTAAAGCATTCCAGGAAACGTTCGTTTACTCAACTGTCCGTCGAGCCACAAGCAATTTACTCTGAGCAGCTAATCGGATGCATTCCAATCTCTCTTCCACAGATCGAGCTGTCGAACAAACGACAACAGCTAAGCTTAGCTGTTGAGTGGCAGTGCTACAGAACGATCAGATGTCAGTAAAACCTATTTCATAAAGCAGCAACACAGTTCACTTAACCAACAGCAAGTCATAACATTGACTCGTTAACATTGAACTCTCTTGCCGCTGCTCTATTTCCGTGTTCAAACTGCGTAACCCGATCGCCTTAAGTTTGAACTTTGCGTTGTAAGCATGTCTCTAGCAAGGAGGCATTTTGGGGTCGACATATTACCGTAATAACCATGCACAAGGCGCATCGGATTTTAAGGCGCGCTGTGAGCTTTTAAGAAAATGCAAGGCTGTTAGGTGCGCCTTTTAGTGCGGAAAATACGCTAAGTGCATTTGTCGAGTGATGGTGGGGGGAATCCCACATTAAAATATAAATATTTCGCATCAAAATGTGTGTGCCACTATTAGCACTCCTGATGTTAATACTTGAGAGAGCTTGCTGATGAGGGGGACCTCAAAAACAGGCTGGATAGGGGCGTATGAGGACCAGACTTTGGCACCCCTGCTCTGAATCATCCAGCAACCTGGGTCCACTCCTCTTCACTCTCCTCTTTTGTTCACTCCACAAGTTTTCAATGGGGTTGAGGTCTGGGGACTGAGATGGCCATGGGAGGAACTCAATTCTGCATCTGGTGAGCCATGTCTACAATTTTCCATATGAGGGTATGCATCCGCAATAAAAACTGAATGTATTTAAAAAGGTTATTTATTTATTTAAAAAATTTCCACAAAAATTCCGCACTTCCACTAATTATGAAGGGCCCGTATCCTAATCACCGCAAGGTGGAAGCTAATGGTGATGTAAGACCATTTGCTTGCTGGTGCCATAAGCTATGTTTTACATTAGCATCTGATCTGATTAATATTATGATAATTGCAAAAAATAATCTGTGCCTAGGCGGTGCTCAAAATAATCGATTCAGCCTGAACCAACCCCTCAAGACGACAAATTCGACTGTTAAATCATGCCATATTTTCCTGGCAAGCTCACGATTTTGCATGTGGTGATACTACGAATATGTATTGTATGTCATTAGTAGACACAGCTGATAGATGTGTCGGTTGATGGTTGCCGGATGGAGAGGGAAAGGTATGCAAAAAAAAAAAGATTGTATCCATTTTCAAGTTGCATGTGCAAATGAAACCACTGATTCGTACTGTTCAATTGCACTCATTTTTGTTACGATATTTCAGATGACATGATTTGCAAAGAGATCATAATGAAGAAATGTGAATCTTTTCCAAATGTCTTCGTAATGATTTGCACCAAAAAAATGGCAAAAACAAAAATGCAAATAGTAGATAGTTTATGAGGCTACAAGTGGTCCAGCTCACTTGAACTCAAATTGGGATATATGTGGCCCCTAAACTGAAATGAGCTTGACACCCATGCTCTAAATGATTATAAAAAATAGTTGTTAATTTGACCATCTTTTAGCTGTCAATTATTCAATTAGTTGTTGCACCTCTACTGAGTACTGCTTGCTTATCTTCAACACTTGACACACATTTTTGTCGTCTTAGCGGGAATTGGAATGCAGACATAACACTGACCTTTTTCACCACCTCCTCCTCCTCCTGCTTCCTCTCGTAGTGGGAAAAGTCATCAAAGATGGAGGTGGTGTGTTTGTAGGTGGCGATGATCTTGAGCACCTGCTTGGCCTTCTCCAGAGGAACTTCTTGAGTGTCACGCGAGTTGGTCACCGGCTTGTTGTCGTTGTTCTCCAGGCGGATGTGGCGCAGCTGGCTATTGGGCACGTCCTTAACAAACAACCAGTTCACGTCAAACTTGCCCTTCCACTTGTCCTGCGCCCAAACGCCGGCACTAGTGCCGTAGTCCACAGGTGAGCGCATTTCCGCCACGCCGCAGAAGTGGCCGCTGCCGTTGACGCTGAACAACAAGTACACGGGACCTTTGGAGTTCATGGTCCTGAAGGCCGAGTCCAAGCGTTTGTTGCCGTGCTCCGTGCTGCACCAGATGGAGTATTTGATGGAGCGGTGGATGTCGTCTTCAGAGTAGCTTTTGATGATGAACACTCGGCCGTTTTTCAGATTCCACTCAAACTCCTTCGGGTTATAACTGTGGGCCGCACGCAGCTTTTCCAGGACCGGGTGTGATTCTAAACCCGGCTCGGGTCCCCCACAGCCGCCACCGCAGCCGTTGCCGACCCCGCCGCTGGATGAGCCGCTACTGTCCAAGCTCCCGCCGCCGTAGCACAAGTTGCGACTGCGAGGCGCCACCCAGCGGGTCTGCGGCGCCGGAGCCGAGTTGTGGTTCTGGTAGGACTGGAGCGGGGGAGGCGGAGGACCGGGCATGGTCATCTGCTGGACCAGAGACTGGGCCGACTGGAGCGACTGCTGCAGGGGGGGCAGGAGGCCGCCAGGGTGAGAATGAAGTGGCGGCGGCTGGTGCTGCTGTTGGTGGTGGTGGTGGTGGGGCTGTAAGGGAGCAGTCATCTTTGGGGCGGCCACTTTATTATCCCACGTGTCAATGTCCACCATGTTGTGTTTCACGGGCGCGGGGGGAAGCGGGCCGCCACCGATGGGGGCGCAGAGTTTGTTTTTGGACTTTTGTTGCTGCAGCTTGGCGGGCTTACTTGCGATGGCGGCCCATGATGTCGGTTTTGGAGGCGGCATTCCCACTGTTCCCCCATTGCCCGCGGCGACGGGAATGCCACCGCCGATCACTGAGCCGGCAGTCTTCACGCCCGAGCCCCCTGCCGTCACATCCCCGCCGATTTTAAGGCTCAGCATGCCCTGCTCTAGGTTGTTCATGCCCGGGGCCTTGCTGAGGGTGTCGCTGTGGAAACCCGTCTGGCCATCCGGGACTAAAGTGCCTCCTAAGGAGCTGGGTGGGTAGCTGTAACTTCCCCCGTAGGCTGAGCTTTGGGTCTGCTGGCCCTGAGAACCGCTGGTGCCCCAGGCAGAGAACGCTGGGTTCTCTGGGAAAAAGTTAAACCTGTGCGGATATATGCTGCTGCTGAGCCCCCCCGGCTGGCCAAATACCGTGTCATGCATGAAGTGGTGGTCCCCGTTACTGAGAGGCGCATAGGGCGTCAGGTAGGGGATAGGCGGGTCACCACCTGTGGACCATGGAGCCTCACTCAGCGGGTAGGGGAATCCAATGGAGGGGGCGTAGTAGCTGGACAGGTAAGGGTCGGTCATGGACTGATAGCTGTTATTCTACAAACAGTAAGAAAATCATAATTCAGAAACAACAAGACGGAGCAAATACGGCTTATTTGGGATGTTCACACTCAGTCCAGTACTCTGGTCTGGACCACAGTTGCAAAACTGAAGTCACAACCTGACTGGAATGTTGACGCAAATTTTAAGAATAGCAGAAGTGGGAATAAGTCATATACTGTATGTTCAAGTATTAAGTCTCAAGTCTAAATTGTAAAGTTTCAAGTTATGGCCGAGTCAAACTCCACGCCTTTTTTATCGTTCACGACGGTTGCCCTGTCAATCTACCATGGGCGAGATGTCACACTACGAGTCCGTCACAAACTAGACCCCACCCAATCGTTGAGTGTTTCCGTCAAGATTCAGTCCATTGGTGCAGGTCCTTTGGGGAGGTGGGACATGCAGCTGTCACAGTCATGTCGACAGAGGCATTATGTGCATATGTGTTGTTTCTATGTTCAGAAAAGGCAAAAAAACAAAAACAACAGTATGGGCTGTTCCTGAATGGTGAGGTGAGGGCAAAATGGACTGTCTATTCTGCAAAAAGAACTTGAGGTCACATTTTTTTTTCCATGACACTACGTTGAGTATGCCACGAGCTACGATGTGTCAAGTCAACTCAATATCGGCTACAAGACACTACGTTTGTCTGCGAAACGTCTGTCGGCTCAAAAGCGGGCTACATTCGTGTAGTCTGACGCCGGCATTAGTGTGGCAGAAGTCAAGCTGAGTCCCCATAAAATTTCAAGCAATTTGAGTCACGTACTTGGATAAGGATTGTGAAACAAAGATTTTTTCAAACCTTAAAAGATTGTTTATCTGTGACAGATCCTACACACGATGATCAAAAATCAGGCATGCAAGAGTTTTGGTTTGTGCGTGGTCTGCTCCGATAATCAGTCAGAGCACGACACACATTAAGGTTCACACGTTTAATTAAAAAAATAAATAAATAAAGAAATAAATCAAAAAATCATCAGGAAGCACATGTTTTGTTTGATGTACTGCTGTTTCCTTGTTCCTGAGTTTGGGTGTTTTTTATTGGCTACGTTCCATTCCACATTACAATTCATAGCCTTGTGACTCAGATTTTTGGTCATAAATATTGTACATGTTTAAATATTTAAGATTGTCAGCCCAACTCATATTGGACCTGCTTATTGGAACAAATACTCCTGAACAATCCTCAGACAGAAGGATCATCATAGGGGCCGATCTTGTAAAAATAAATAAATAAAAACCGGGCGGGCATTTGACAGCCTTGGTCAGGGAGGGGCAAAACTGCCCAATTGTCTTAACGTGTGTAAGCAAGAGAAGTCATACAAGCTTACTTCATCACAACATATATTCTTGCATTAGTGTATTTGCGTTACTTAGCGTGACTCACACATTCACATCATTCTGTAACAGTTCCACAACAGTCTACATCTTTTACATCTTCAACAGTCTATCTTTTACTTTATTGTCTTCTCAATCACCAAAATCAAGCTTAGCTTGTTTTTGACCACCTTTAGGTGAGCTCAACTGTCACGGTAACTGACTTGTCTTCGTGGGTCTTATAGCAACAGATGAAGTTACATGTCACAGATGTTGTCTCTAATGTTGGAGCGGAGTTCTCTTTTTACCAATTTCTAAAGGGTTGCCCTTGAACACAAATGCCATCGTGTTTGGTGATCCCTCCATGATACTTGCTTAGTGAAGGTGGCCTCGGAACTCCATATCATAGCATACTTATGGCCTCCCAAGTTTGTGCATGCCACATCAAAAACGAAGCTTTGGTTTTTAAAATGGCAACAGCAAAAAAAAAAACAAACCAAGAAAAAAAACGTTATCAGTGGTCTGAACCAGAGTCCTGGGTTACAACGTGTGAACACAGCTCTAATTTCATAAAAACACAATGCAAGCAACCCACCTGGTTGGACTGGCCAGTGAGATAGGGCTCAAAGTCATTGTCGTGGACGGTGTCCTTTTGGTGCAGGGAGCCGTTCTGCACTGAAACCGGAAAGCCTGCAAGAAAACAACGTCGGTCAAAAACATCATAATCATGCACTTACGCACCTTCAGGAAATGGATGCAATCTGAATGGAGCGACCTTGCATTGAGGGGTGATGCTGATAAATCCGTCAGAGAATCTCTTATTTTCCACGCTGCAGAGGCTGTGCTAAGCTCTACTACCTCATAAGGAGAAACATCATTTTGCACTTTTGCCGTCATTTCACAGCCTCTCATATTAATTGGGGAAGGATCAGGGCCTGTAGACTTTTTTCATGACCTATGAGGAGCATTTCCACATGTTGATGAGGCTTGGGGTTGGAGCAACTTACACAAAAAATCTACACTTATTGGCCATGAATTCTACTTTTTTTTTTTTTGTTGCGTTTGATGCGCCACTCACGCATTACACTGCTTGGCAACCTGGTCAACTTTCATTTTGCACCATCTCCTTAGTGTTCAGTTACGGGTGTGGTATTCTGATTAAACTGCTTGTATTGATTTATTAAAAAGTGAATGCAAAAACACACGCTCCTTCAAAATGACCCATGCACTTGTATTTGGCATAGAGCAGTATATTTTCTGTATCTGCTATATGCAAGTTAATTTTACTCTTAAGATGGGGTATAAGGCAAATCAAACAGATGCCACAAAATATGATCCCAAAACGATTTAATGTCATCTCAAACTCATCATACAACATTACCCTTTTGGTTTTCATATAATGTGTGACGGTCTGGAATATTTCTCCTGTGACTAACAGGTGTTCCCTGGACCCTACCTTTGCACCCCACTTGTATCGAGCTGCTGGCATTTTCAGTACAAATGACAGGGCTCATTTATTTCAACGAAGTCCAAGATGGCGCCCGAGTATGCAGCCGTCGGCAAGTGCTCTCATGAGCCTTGTTTTTTTTGGTTGTTTTTGTGTTTGTTTTGTCACTTTGTGTTTGTTGTTGCGTCGTGTGGACCAGCTGTGGATTGTTTTTTAGCATTTTTTTGGCCACGACATTCATCAAGGAGGAGACTCGGTGCTTGGTGGTTGCGCCTTCTCGGCAGCATGGGTATACAAGCACTGTTTTTGATTGGGAGGAATGTTGGTGCCATTTGACTGTCATTGCTGGACAGCTCTGGGGCGCTTGTGTTTTTTTGCGCCTGTATTGGGCAGCATTTTACACAGCCCCGCTTTGTTCGGCGGAGAGATTGGTGCTGTTGGACGGTCTGCGGCTGGATGAATGCAAGGCTTGAGGAGCCGACGATGAGAAGAAAGGAGCGTCAGCGCAGAGCGCCGATGCGGATGTGGAACTGGGAGTCGCGGCTTGGGGGTGAAGCGGATTACGTGGGACAGGAGATGTGAGCCAGTCTCTTTTCGTCAATGGACGCTACAGCTTCGTGTTTGCTTTCAAAACTTAGTTTGTTGCAGACGTGTGCACATTTTCAGTATGACGTCTCTGATCCACTGGTGAAAGGACTCTTTGATCCTCTCCTCTTTCATCTATAACTGCTTCAAACAACAAAGTATATGCAGGAAAAGTGATTAAGAGTGCATGACTGTTTGTGTCTTATGTGTTGTGTTATTTTGTTATTTTGACTTCAAGATGGCGCCGCAAGAGTGGCTGCCTTTACATCAGCTCCTATATTTTGTTCTTCTACTTCTTCCTTTCATAACTTTGCTGCTGTGAATTGGGAATTTCTCCATTGCGAGACTAATGAAGGTTTTCTTATTGTATCTTATTTCTTACCTTTATTGGCATCTTGTCCTTTCGAGATCTTAGTAGAAGGGAAGCATGTGAGGGGGGAAGAGAGCAACGTGAGTAAGGCATCACATGATCGTGCACACCTGACAGTATTGTACGTGGGCTTCTGAAATAATAGTAATAACACTCATTAGAACAAGCAGCCAGAATTCCAACGATGCCAGCCAGCTACTGGGGACTGTAGTCCAAGCGGGCCTTGATTACAAGCAGTTATCTAGCCTTACAGTTAGCTGGCCTCTCAGTGGGAGATGTGTAAATCTGCAACATGCTTGTCTGAAATGAATTCTTGAAGCAAACCTGCGGGTCAATGCTGGCGGCGGACATCATGGATCGTCCAGCTGTTGTTGTGTTTGGAGCCCCCCCTCCCCGGACAATTCGTGCAGCGCGTGAGTAGCCTTTTAGTGGAGATGCTCGGATGTCAGTTTGCTACAGCAGTAGTTAGCCGCCGTCCCTGTTCGACTTGTACTACTTTTAGTTCTTGTAGCAGCAGCGGCGGCAGCAGCAGGCAGGGAGAGGCGGCCTCGCTTTTTGTCGTCGTCGTCTTTCGCTGCTGACACCCCAAAACAGGCAGTCCTGTCAATATGAAACCGACCTGGCTTTATTGTTATTACTGCTAGTATTATTATTATAGCCAACCGTAGCCGCCGTCACATTAAGAGTGGAGGCGAGCTGCCTCGGCGGTGGCCCTGCTAGTGCTAACTTAGCCGAACGGCGAGCTTCCTTCCACCGGGTCTGCTCGGCGGAAGTGACGCAGCTTACGTAAGCGACGCGTCTCCGGCTACCTAGCAGCATAGCCAGAGCACTCATGTTCGCACATTCATGTTACAGTACTCGATTATACAGCGTGTGCTGAAAGTAGCCAAACACAATTTCATGTCATTTGATTACATTCCATATGCAATTTTCCTGGTGCCTTTTTCTCCCTCCCTTTCTTTCTGACTTCCAAGCGAAGGATGGCAGGAAGGATTCATTTTGTCATGCATGGCATAAACAATTTGTTTTTCGTATTCTCCACGGAGCTCACCAATTAAACGGGTATTCGAGGCAGGGTAAAAAGGGGAAAGCATTTCTTTTTAAAATTGAATATTTAATATTTTTGTTTATTTATCCATCTATCTACCTATTTATTTATTTCTATACACCAATTACAACAGCCATCATTCACACAGCAATATAGTAGGCTAAAACTAATACACGAGGAATCAGGAGCATCCATACATCCATCCATTATCTGAAATGCTTTATCTTCACGAGGGTCGAGAGCGTGCTGGAGCCTGTCCCAGGTGACATCGGACAGTAGGCGGGGTACCCCCTGAACTGGTTGGCAGCCACTCGCAATGCAGTAATCAAGAGCAATACAGGTAAATAACAGCACTGTCAATTAAAACAAGAGCAGAAGCGATATAAAGATTCTGCCAAGTCACTCACAATATGTTTGAAATTTCCAAGAGAAACTAATTCCTTTGATTTGAAAGTGCTCAGACAAAATAAAAATCAACTGCAAGGGAAAAGAAGGAGGACTGAAGAAAAGACTTCAGGAGGGAAGAAAAGAGCAGGTCTGAGCTGGGAGTAGGTTTCTGCAAAGGAAGGATGGGAAGATGCAAGAATAACATAAGCAGCGTTGACGCACGAAAGGAGGTCAGGAAGAAAATAAAAAACAGGAATGACGTGGAAGAAAAGAAGTACAGTAAGGAAGAATGTAAAAACGAACATATCTGCTGTACAAAGTACATAGTTCCAAAATGTCACACGATCTTCCCGTGCAAACAGTTTCGTTTCCACGTTTATTTGACACAGTGGTTTAATATTATACATTTTCCAAACATCAGGATTATGTTACATCATCAAATACGCAGCTCTTTATTTATAATGTTCAAATACACAACTACACACAAGTAGGCTTAGTATTGACACCATTTATAAACTCGATGGGGTGGTGATATTGAATTGAGAATGGCCTTGTACATTTTATTCATGCAGATCAGCGGTGTCTTGAGATATGAGTTTAATTTGTTCCGTGACCACACTTGTGACACAAAACACTGATATTTCAAATCATTTTTCCCCATTCAAATGAACCGACGGGTCATTAATGTGCTCCAGCCTCCTCAAAAAACACAACAAATGTTTTGGTAATTTGTTTTTTAATAAGGAAAATAGCACTTCTTAATGTTCATCCATCCATCCATTCTCTTCCGCTTATCTGGGGTCAGGTCGTGGGGGCAACAGCTTTAGCAGGGAAACCCAGACTTCTCTCTTCCCAGCTACTTCTTCCAGCTCTTCTCTGGGGATCCCCAGGCCAGCTGGGAGACACAGTCTCTCCAGCATGTCCTGGGTCGTCCCTGGGGTCTCCTGCCAATGGGACATGCTGGGAACACCTCACCGGGGAGGCGTCCAGGAGGCATCCTAATCAGATGCCCGAACCACCTCATCTGACGCCTCTCGATATGGAGGAGAAGCGGCTCGACTCCTTATAAATGCACAAATGCACGCTTTGACTTTCTGCATAGACTCCAGCAAGTCCGTTTCTGCTTCCACCATGTCAAGAAATTTGCGCTTCTTGTGTTTTGATTTTAAAAGGAATGAGAGTAGCAGCTTGGATTTGTGGTGAATCAAGTCGGCTGTGTTCATGCCCACAATGGCGCAAGATGTCCATTTTAAACCGTTCCGAGCAGCTTGCATTTGTGAAATTATCAAAACAAAGTCTGTGCAGATTTAGTCCGCGCTTCATGCCAGACTTGCATTGGTCACAAAAATAGAGCCATAAATCTAAAAAAAAATATCCGATTTGTATGATGCGACACAATCATATCAAAAACGTTTAATCGGCCTAAATTTAAGGTAGGGAGGAGTAATTGGTTAATTTTTTTTAATTTTTTTTTTTTATTGACGTCAGTCTTTCTACAGTATGCGACGTCTATGAATACAGAAGTGTGAAGCCTGCTGACTGTTTAACACACAAGAATGCAATTGTCTTTATATTTAGTGACATGAAACTTCAACTAGCAGTGGCATTAAAATAGCCTGATGTTTTTTTCTGAAAGAACTGTTGTCAGTTTCGTTGATTTCACTGCCACCAATTTTTGCTCACAAATGAAAGGAAAAAAATTGGCAAAGCAACTGCTTGGATCATGAAAAACTTTGTAAGTTGGGTCACATGTCTCAAGGCACAGTTGTATTACATTTTCTTTGACCAATATTAACCCAGTCAAGGTCCACCGAAGTTGTTTTTAGTGGTTATTTTAATGGCAGTGATGAGAGTAGATGAGGAAAAATGTAAACAAAGAAGTCTGATGTGGTGCCGGCGGAAGGGCGAAAAGATCTCACTCGCTGGAGACAACACAGAAGGAGCAGTATGCATCGTGCTGAGCAGCGGCCCATCTTTACGCCGTTCACGTTTCAAAAGAGCTCCAATTGGAGAAGCGGTCTCTGAGTGATGCGGCACATGCACAGTGCACACACAAAGCTCACACGGTCTGCTGGAAAGCGGGGGGGGGGGTCGTCGTACGGGGGTGATTGCTGCCGCACGGTGGAGGACAAGAAAAAGGGAGGAGGGGCTGAGAGACCGTCTCAAAACAAGCGCACGATGGTTGTTGGCTGAAGACATACGGTACCATTCTTCAGTTTTCTGCCTACCTTGCCCCCAAAAAACACCAAACATATTTTAAGTGTGTTTTTTATAAGAGAGATGGCACTCAAACATCGAGGCAAGTCAAGTCAAGTCAGCTTTATTGTCAAATATGCTCTATGTGCAACATACAGCACAGATGAAATTTCTTTCCTCTGAACCACAGTGCAACCACAGGAGAGAGAGAGGAGTCACTGTGCGTACCCGCGCTGCCATCAGCAGAACAGTTAACATAAAATAACAAAATAATACAACAGAACACATGAGACACAGACAGTCATGCGATCTTAACCACCTTTTCTGCATACACTTTATTTGAAGCAGTTGTAGATGAAAGAGGAGAGAATCAAAGTGTCCTTTTGCCAGTGGATCAGATAGGTCATGCTGAAAATGTGCACACGTCTGCTACGAGCTAAGTTTGAAAGCAAACAAGAAGCTGTAGCGTCCATTGACGAAAAAAGAGAGTGACTCACATCACCTGTCCCATGTAAATCCGCTTCAATTCCAAGCGGCGACTCCCATTTCCACATATGCATCTGCGCTCTGTGCTGACGCTCCTTTGTTCTTAACGTCGGCTCCACAAGCCATCCATCCATCCAGCTGCAGACTGTCCAACAGCACCGACATTTCCGCTGAACAAGATGGGGCTGTGAAAATGCTGCCCATTGCAGGTGCAAAAAACACAAACGCCCCGGGGCTGTCCAGTACCGACAGTTAGGTGGTGCCGACATTCCTCCCAATCAAAATCAGCGCTGCCGAGAAGGCGCAACCACCAAGCACAGATTCTTTGACGAATGTCATGGCCATAAAAACGCTGAAAACAATCCACATCAGGTCCACACAATGTAGCAACAAACACCATGTGACAAAACAAAACACATAAACAACAAAAAAAACAACAAAAAAAAGGTTCTTGAAGAGTACTTGCCGATGGCTGCCTACTCGGGCGTCATCTTAGAAAAAAAAAGTCAGAACTTCATTAAAACTAATTATGCATCATAATTCATTGCAACTGTGTGGCTCCTGCTGGTTTGTGCACCTTGGCCACCTGGAGGAAGCATAATACATACAGTACGAGTGAATATGCGTACATGGGGACGGTCACAACTAATCTCGATAAGCTGCAGTAAAATTTGTCTTCACAGAGTATAAATGATATACGCTTACAAGTAGGGCTGAGCTATTTTTCATTTTTTTATTCAAATCGCGATTCCAGACAACGCGGCATCACAGGATCGTCAAAGCTTAGTTGTTTTATTTTGTTTTGTTTTGTTTTTTGCAGAGGCTCTTGAAAATATGAGTACAGAAAATAGCGACACAGTAAGCACAGGCCCGAAAAATGTAAATGAATCAGTTTCATCAGCCGGATTGAGGTGCTTTTAGTCCAAAGTATGTTATGTTAGCTGCATCTGTTTACAAGAGTTTTGAGATTTGATAAGTCTCAAGATAGAACCGTTTGTGCTTTTAAATAAATAATGGTTGTTCGTCTCTGTGTGCCCTGTGATTGGCTGGCAACCAGTTCAGGGTGTACCCTACCTACTGCCTGAAGACAGCTGGGATCGGCTCCAACACGCTTGGGACCCTTGTGAGAATAAGCGGATGAGAAAAAGGATGGATGGATGTTCACATGTAGCTAAGTGGACTTTCCTCAGGCAAAGCAATGTGGTGTAATTCTCATTGTTTTAAACGTCAACTGGGAGTGGCATGAACTAACTTGAAGCTTTTTTTGAAGAATTGTTCATTATCTGACAAACTGCTGCTTGTTGTCAAGTGAGGTAAGTTCACTGCCAGCATCACGGCACTCGTATCGCAAATTTTTGCTTGCAACTCAAAGCAAAAGAATGAAACAATGGAAGTACTTGTACTCAAATTTTTCAGGCGGTACAGTACTTAGAAGTATAATAAAAAGAGTCAAAAAGAAAATGCAGATATTTTCTTTTTGAACCATATTTTGTCAAAACATTTACATTTCTACTAAACTTTTATGTCCAACAGATCTCAATTGAATCCTCACTTAAGGCTTTTTTCCGCTTTATTTAAGCGCAGTGTTAATGTGTACAGAATTTTACACATAAATGCACACAGTTGATTAGTAGTTGTTGGTAGTTGGCATCAAAAGTTTGAGGGCCAGTGATGTATTGTATCTCTTGTCTGCAGTTCAGGCAAAATGCAAGAAAATCTTTCTCAGTTCAAAAGAGAAGTATAACTGTTATGAATTTACTTGAATCTCCATTCCGACCTGAAGGTCGCCTAATTGTAGAATGAACATTATAATGAAACCAATCTAGTGTACATACTCTGCATTATGACCAGCGTTTTGTGACCATGTCATTTCTACAGCAGCATTTCTAGGTGATATTTTTTATTTTCCCTCTCCCCCTTTTGCCTTTTGTGAACTGATACTCGGGGTTACCAATGGGAAAGTGGTCCATTCACATTGCGATTTGTGTGTTAGGCAGCGTGGGTCTCCAAAACAAATTACAGTACTTTATTCTTGTAATGTTATAATGTTAGGACTATCATGTAAAAAACAAACAAAAAAACGTTCACTTTTTATGTATAAAATACACAACTTTGTTTTTTGTAATATTATGATTTTATGATGTGAATAAATACAGGTACAGGTTTTCTTTTTGCTCGCATTACTGCAATTTATACCTCACAATACAGTGATATAGAGGTCGTGGGTTCGATCCCGGCTCCGGCCTTGCTGTGTGGAGTTTTCTCCGGGTACTCCGCTTTCCTCCCACATTCCAAAAACATGCATGGCAGACTGATTGAAAACTCTAAATTGTCCCTCGGTGTGTGTGTGAGCACGGATGGTTGTTTGTGTCTGTGTGCCCGGCGATTGGCTGGCAACCGGTTCAGGGTGTACCCTACCTACTGCCCGAAGACAGCTGGGATAGGCTCCAGCACTCCCCGCTACCCTTATGAGGATAAAGCGCTTCCGAAAATGGATGGATGGAATATAATGATATTAGAAATAATAAAGTCAACCTTCATGAAAATATATCACTTTTGCCTTGAAAAAAATATTACTTCACTCTTTTAATAGTACGACTTAAACTTGGGGGCGGGAACATTCCCCCTAAAAAATATATGAATATTCTCCTTTTTTTTTTTTTTTTTCTATATCCTTTTGCGGGTGCTCGTAATACTTTGGAGTGGTGGGCTGGGCGCTTGGTTTCAAAACAAGCGACAGCACTTTGAGTTTCGAAAGATGTGCGAGTGAATGTCTGTTGTTACCCATTTGGAAAGGTTGCAGGCAGCAACAGCGACGTCTTTTCCTCTGATAGGTCGGTTGCCTTCTCTGCAGTTGTCACAATGTACCACTAGAGGGCAGAAGCAGCACCAGAACGATTGAAGGGTGAAACGTCACGTGGAAGAAGTGCAATACAAAACAAGATCAAACAAAGCAGCAAAGCTTTATCCAGGATATACGTCAAATACAGTACTGTAAATACATGAATTATTTATCATAATAGCACTACTAAAATCTAAAAACAGAGAACATTTTTATCTCCAAACATAACTTTATATCAAAAACATTTTGCGGGTAATATAAACTGTTCTTATAAATACCCAACTTTATTCTGGTAGTATGTGACTTACCTAAAGAGAGTTCCACTGTAGGAATATTATGTATGAAATTTAACTTAAAAATATGACTTGAAAACAACCAACTTTTTTCCTGTTATATTTATTCTTGCAATCTGAATTTTGTCTTAAAAAGGCGCAACTTTTTATTGAAAATGTACAACTTTTGTCTAAAAAATTACAACTGTGCCTTGAAGAGAACCAATTTTTATCTAAAAAATATAGACGACGATGCTTTTTCATCTCTAAAATAGAGTATTTTCTCAGACAACTTTTTTCTTGAATATATCCAACTTAATTTTCGTAATAGTATACTTTCTTTTTGAAATGTACGACTTTATTCTCACTATATAACTTTAATGCAAATAAATCTTTCTTTACAATATGTCCTTCAATTTTGAAAATGTAAAGAGAATCATTTGTATCTCAAAAAATAGATGACTGATTTAAAAAACTGTGCGTGTGTGTGTGTGTGTGTGTGTGTGTGTGTGTGTGTGTGTGTGTGTGTGTGTGTGTGTGTGTGTGTGGAGTGAAACAAAAATAATGTTGCTCAATCATATAAAAAGTAAAATATCTCAGCGGGCTCGTTAGGCGACTTGAATACAGTACTGTACTGTACTATCAGATTGTCATGGATAGATGGGAGAGGCGCACTTCCGGGATTTGTCGCTAGATGGCGTAAGAAGGGAACGGCACGCACGATCGGAGAGTCTCCTGCGAGCTGTGCCTGCTGTGTCACATGGAAGCTCGGTAGCCCAGAGGACGCGACGCGAGGGGAGATGATGGCGGGGGCTTGAGGGACGTTGAAGGCGAACGCGCGTGGAAATTCGGTTGCTTTTCCCAGGCGACCCTCACCCACCCCAAGCCCCACTTACCTTACCTGTACATTATTACCACCTGGCGGGGAAGGAAGAGGCGCGCTGTTACTGGGGCTCAGCGGGCAGCGCCAAAAACAAGAAGAAGGGGGAAAAAAGGGATGCCAGATGCAATGCGGTGCATTGGTGCTGCGTGAAGCCCCCACGGTGACGGAGGAACGGATAGAAGCGCGCTGCGCCGCATGCACGTTGATCGATTATGCTGGTTGGGAGGCGGTTGCTGGTCCGACGAGCTGAACCCAAAGGACGGGCTCATGGTGCCCCTCTCCAAACGTCGGAGCTGAGTGAGTAGACGCGATGCTTTAGCGCAATGCCTGAAGGGGGTGCGTCTGTGAGTGTGTGTGTCTGTGTGTGTGTGTGTGTGTGGAGTGGGGTGGGGGCGTCATTTGTGCTTATCATCGAACTCCATAAAAGATTATTTATGCGGACGCGTTGTTCCATGTTGCGCGTTTTCTTTTGTGCTCATGTGTTCGCCTGTCCACGCTGGTCACGCGTTTAAGACGCGGACACGTGTGCAGAACCCCCTTCCTCCCCTGTGCTGCATTGCCCCCCCCCCCCAAAAAAAATGTGTGTGGGGTGATGGGGGGGGGGCGATAACGCCGATACCTCCGATGTCAAAAGATAATCAAGGTTTCTGTTTGCAACCATATCGTACCCTCCTTGTCGGGAGCTGCTGGGTTTGAGGGGAGGCGGGGGTCTTTCAGTTGTTCTGCTGACCTCAGGGACATCCTCTCCCTTGCACACTTTGATGTGAGCGTAAAGCGGGGACGTGAGGACATGCATCATTCTGTTGCCATTCCGCTCTCCGACTGCTTTGTAACCTGTTGTCAGCCGCTCGCTTCATTGAGCACTTTGAGCCAAGCGGCAGCCAGTGACGGATGCCCGCTGTGGCTGCCAAAAACAAAGCGCATCCAGTTGAGCGCATGCACACTAAAAAGGGGATGAAAAGGAAGGAAAGAACGGGAGGCTATCTATCAGGGACTCATGCTTTCACAGCTTCGATCACTCTATCTTTCTCTCTCTAAAAAAAAAAAAAAATATATATATATATATATATATATATATATATGTGTGTGTGTGTGTGTGTGTGTGTGTGTGTGTATCACAACAGATATATAACGGAGATGATCGTTAGACGTGGCGGCATATAGAGAAGGGTGAGCTTCCCCTCTTCCTCTTCAGGCTTCTTCCTCACAGGGCGCACGGTTAATCGTTGTTGCAAGCCAACATTTGACCTAATTCACATTCTCACACAATAGCATCCCCCAACACACACACACACACACACACACACACACACACACACACACACACACACACACACACACATATGCGCGCGTGCAGTTATATGTGTCACACAGACGCTGAGGTTTTCGCTCCGCCATGTAAACTCCCAGGTGGTTTATCAAAAACCTGAGCAGATTGGCAGAGTGGCCGCTGGCTGGCTGGCTGCAGGCCGCTCGTGTTATTAATAATGGACACGCAAATAAATGCAGGACATGTTCCTCGAAAAATAAAAAGCCTCCGGTATTGAATGTGTGTTGAATGCCCCCACCCCCAAGTCTATTTTTGTAAGGATTACATCCTAATTCCCTGTTGACTGTGTGGCCCTTGTCAGGTGCTGATGAGCAGAAAAGAAGCCGAATTTCGGGCGTGAAATGAAATTGGGCTCCATATGCTTGAATTTCCCTTTTTCAAGGTATTTCGGAAATGACATGAAATCCAATTCAACAGGTGACCTGCACCTGGACACATTAGGTTTGCCACAAGGCAATATTTTTAGAAATGATTATTCTGTCAATTATTTCACAGAATAATCGGATACAAGTGAATTTTGCATTTGTGTTTCCTGTATTGCAAAATCTTTTTTTACCATGATGATGGTTTATGATGTGACTATTGTTTATTTGGTAATTTTTAATGACGTAATCAAAACTGTGTTATATCGCACATGTCAATTAAGGGTTAGTCAAACGGGTGCGAACAACCATTCTTTTTTTGTCATCGATTCAACTGATGACTTTTTTTCCATAAATCGACTGATATTTACTGGTGATAGATTAGTTTTCGATGAATTCAATTTCATTACCTGTAGAGGTACAGCAATTAATCGATTAATCAACAAGTAATCGATTATCAAATTAATCAGCAACTACTTTGGTAATCAATTAATTGTGTAAAGACTTAGTTTAATTTAAAATTTCAGCTTCTTAACAGCAAACATTCTCCGATTTCTGTAGTCCTCCATGAAATTATTGAATAAAAATGAGATATATGCAAACATCCCTGCGATGGGCTGGGAACCAGTTCGGGGTGTACCCCGTCTACAGCCCGAAGACAGCTGGGATAGGCTCCAGCATGCCCCGTGACCCTGTTCAGGATAAGCGAATCAGAAAATGGATGGATGTTTGCAAATAGCTTTTATTTTGAAAAACATTGCTAAATAATTTTGCCTCTTTTCTCACAAACCACTGACTGAAAAAAAACCCCACTTAAATTTATTCAAGAAATGATCATTATTTGCAGCTGTAGAGTGAATAATCGATAAATGACATAAAATGAATGTGTATCAGGTTGTTGGATGAAATGATGGAATAATTACGAGAAATATTTGATAACTGCAGCCTTAAATTTAACGTTATAACATCATCTCTACATCATGAATCAATGATCAAAACTGTTCTTTAAATGGTCGGCTTTTGCAGAATCGTCGAACGTGTAGAACACCTGAGACTCGCTGGTGAGACGTTTGATGGGGGTTGAATGTGTTCGATGTTGCACATGAATGACGCTGTGGTCTGGAGAGAGGTGGCCCCCGTGTTTCTTTCCGTGTCTCATCCAATTGGTTGGCTCTCGGCCCTGAGATTACACTGCAGTGCTGAGGCGTCACTCTGGCTCAGCACCGCAGGCAGGGGCAGGCGGAGGGTGCAGTGTGGGGCGGTTCTCATGAATGGGCGGGGAGTGGCGGACGTGGACAGGGAAGGAAGGCCTCTTGTCATCATGTGCGTTGGAGAATCTTCAGATAACTGACAACTCCCACGCTCGACGTCCTCGTCCTCCCCAGATCTCCTTCCTTTACCTGCACAACCACCCACCCGCCCACACGTTCCCCTTTCTTCTTGCACGTTATATCATTCCCTCGACTCTGCCGCCTTCTCTCCTCACTTCACAAAGATATAATGACAGCCGGGCTGCTGCGAGGGTTCCTTCGGTGACCGGCGCCTGGTTGTGACTTTGCACCCATCAAGTGAACGGCACATTTGTTTACTTGCATGTCCACAACTAGAAATGCAACCAATACTGTGGTGACTCAAGTTGTCAGTGATCCCCATGATAAAGGGGAGTTGACTATATTGATAGCTTTCCAACGAGGTGTGTTGTTAAACGAAGAAGCATACTGTGCCTTGTGACCACAGATCCCCGAGAGAGCGTGGCCCTTGCCTGTGTGCATGAGCGTGAGGGCGAGAGTGTGAGTGTGAGCGCGCGTGAGAGAAAGTGAGCGCCAGCGCTCCCACATGGCCTCCATGCAGGACGGGCTGAACTTCACGACTCCTCCCTACGGCAAGGTCCTGCTGCTGGGCGCCATCGCCGCTGCCTCGGCCTTCATCGTCACCATCCTCATCGTGGTGCTTTGCGTGGGCTGCCAGAGGTACGATTACGCATGAGAAAGACAAGAGGTGGGGGACTGTCACATACAAGTCGGAAATGTGGGACTTCGCAGGCATTGTCGACTAGTGATTAGCAGGAGCTAGGGTACTGCCCCATCACACATGGTCAACATCATATTACTTTCCTTGATTCACATTTATAGGCATAAAGAAAGAGCTCCTGTGTCTTTTTTGTCATGTTTGGGAGCGTTCATGTCAGGAGTTTTGGGCCATCTGGCTCCTTCACATTTGAATTGTAAAACGGATGATACAGGCGAATACTTCTTCAAGCAAGCGGGAGGCGAAACAGGAACCATTGTTGTTTATCTTTGCTCTGGCGCAGGCGTGGTCGTCACGCTTCATATTTGTTCAGTCTGCACAGTCATAAAACTTGGGCTTTGCGCAGTCAACCGCAGAAGGGTCCAAGCCGACCTTCGCAAACAGGGGCAGATTACGATAGCGGGCAGGCACACAGATGTGGAAAGTATGAATTGGCCTTTATGTCCAGTTTTGAACAAACAAAGGATGGCAAATTTTAATTGTCCGGAGATGGCCATTTTGAAATCGTTTGAGGGAAGCTCCTGAAGCTCAAGAAAACGGGGGCAGTACAAAGCCGAGGGGTTGTGCGGCTATGAGTGATCCCACGACTCCACAACAAAAAATTGGCACCTGTTCAGTCGTGCCTTCCATCTCTGATTGATTAGTGCTACAAGATGGAGCCAGAGAGGGCTGATTTTTTTTTTTCTTCACCGATCATTTCACTCACTTCTTTTGTCAGGTTTGACAGATTTTTTTTCATCCCTGATTTCAACAGCTCTTGAGGATCTCAAGTGAGCTGTAAATCTCTTGTGTATGAGTTGTTAATGTAATTAATACAGAATTGAATTCTTGGTTTGATTACCAACTCCCTCCAAGAGGTTACCAAAAAATGAACTGGTAATAGTGACTGTGACAACAAACATGACATGATTTTTTTTTTTTTTTAAATTTAATGGCAAACTCCCCTTTAACTCCACTTAGGTCATATGATTCAAGGCCCCCACCTTTGCCAATATGTTTGGCTCTTGTGTACTCTGATGTAAGCTCAGGATCAGTACACATACAGTCCACTTGGAAGAGGTGCTCATATGCTGTACAATTACACATACACATGCAACATAGACCTTCACTTTCTGTTACGCAAACGTTTCTTGCCATTTTTTGATGCTAACCGCAAACATGCACAACAGGAATTACCCCAAAAAAATTGTATGAAGAAAAAAAGATTGTGACACACGTTCTGTATAAACGCATGTGACCTGACACTTTTATTTACCGCAGGAAAGGAAAGACACACAATGCGCCCAGTGAAGGTGGGAAACATCGTCTCATGGACATGGTAGGCATCCTGCTTTGGTAAAATAAAGCAACTCCAGAGACCTATTCAGCATGGGCTTAAAGCCTTTATCTCGCTGAGCGGCGAACAATTGCAACTGTTTTCAAAGGACGTGAATGTTGTGTTCACCTCAGAGTTCGTCAGCGTTTGTTCAAGGTCACAAATGCTCGCCAAACAATCACCAGACAATCGGCAGATGTTTGCCTTTTTTTTTTCTTTTTGAAGCATGCTCAAAATTTCCTTGCGACAAGAAAATAAAACTGTTGGCAAACGTTTGATGACCATTTAGCAAATATTTGCAACCTTGAATGAGCCCTGACGAACCCTGACAAGAACGCAACATTTGCTGCCTTTGCAAATACTCACAATTGTTCGCCGTTAAGTGGGACAGGGGCTGAACACACACTTCCAGGTGGCAAAAGCGCAAATAATCACAGCGCCACTAGTAAACAAGAATAGGTATGGGCAACTAGTGGCCCATGGGCAGCGACCATACGCTGAGTGGCCCTTTGATCACAAGGCCAACCTGAATTCCAAAAATCTGCAACTCAATGGCCAAGCTTCCCCTTACAGTCTTGCGACCCTCGTTGAGGATAAGCAGATCGGAAAATGGATGGATGGATTCCATTTATCCTTTTTACCCTGCTGGATTAATTTTACATACATTTTTTTTCTTTTGTGAATGAAAAAAAATACCTGAATCGTTTGGCGTACATATGACGGTGCTACTCCAAACGCGGATTTTTCTCATCATTTTCAGTTCAAGTTAGCCGTAGTCAATCACTTATTGCCACCTCGAAGTAGCCTGGCTCCTATTGTTTACAAACATTATGAAAAGGTCTATTCCCAAAAGAAACATATCATTCACGTCTTTCATCTTAATGAGTCTTTAACAGGCCCTCGTGTGTGCGTGTGTGTGCATATGTGCGTCATCAGGGTATACTCAGGCAGTCAAAGCTGCGGTCCATCAGTAAATCAGACACAGAGATGAACAAGATGAACTGCAATGGCAAAAGTAAGTACATCTTTGACACACTGACCTTTTTCTCGCAGGTACAAGTGTTCTTGCCTGTGAGCCATGTGGTCATCTGGTGACGAATTTCTGATGGCCTCCAAAGGGAATTTGGGGTTGCGTTGTTCCCTGTAGAAGTCAAGTTTTCCATGAATAAAAGAAGCCAAAACATGCAGCAAACCAGTTTGAATAATGTTAATTTTCAGAAAGAATCTGAATTTGTAGTGCTCTGAGAGCAGTAGTACTGTACATATCACCACTTGCACAATCTAACGAGATCCAACACAAGGCCTTTATTAAATATTCTGCCTTGATGAAGACAATGATGTACTTTGAGCTTTTTCGAATATTTGATATGAAATAACATTGCGCAATTGTTGCAGATCGGGCAGTATTTCATGTATTATCAAAGATAGTTATTTCTCCCGGATTGTGTGACCATGAGAAATAAGTTCATGCTGCCATTTCATTTGTGTACAATTGTTAATTTGGCACAGTTATGTCCGTGCTTTACCTACCTGTTATATGCTAAATTATCACGGTAGGCTAAATTCCGTGCTATGTGAGCATGCCATGGTGAGCTTCATGATCCCTAAGTTTTAGTGATCTGCTCGTGGGCACATACATTTTTACCAATTGGCCCTCGTTAAAAGTTTGACACATTGTACACAGTAGCTCCTCTTCAAGGCAATAGATAGGGTCAAGGTGGGGTATGTAATAAAACTAATGAGGGACCTTGGAATCTCATATAGTTACTTTTCCAATCATGCAATCAGTAGCTTAACTAAAGAACTAAAGGATATTTAAAGGAGTAATGAGGTTATTTTAATGGCTAATAAGAGTATCTTTCCAAGTACTTTAATGGCTAATCTGATTACTTATCTAATCAACAGTAACAATCCTCCCTCTATCCCACAAGAATAGACTTGTTAGATTTAGTACTGGCTGCCGGCTACAGTTTGGACACCCCTGCTTTATGGTGATTAGTACTAGCATGAGTCCGGCGGAAGCGTCCAAAACCAATAAGGACCTTTGCGCCGGTCTAACTCTGATCCTTCGCTCTCAAGGCAGGCAGCTTCCCCAGATTCCCTCTGGGACTGGAGAGGACGGAGAGCACACTTACTCTGAAGTGGGCCGAAGCTCCTCCGCCACGCGAACTGACGACGCGCTCTATGCCATGGTAGGCAGGGCCGGGCAGACAGACACTCCGGCCCCTCCGGCCGTCCCCGCCAACACTCCGGCACCGCCTGATCCAGACGGGGACGTGGAAGGGGGCCTGCCTGAACCCGAAGCCCAGGTCGTGTCCACTTCTCACCCCCAAGAGACGGCGGAGTATGCCTGCGTCAGGAAGCTGAGGAAGGTGGACAAAGCGCCCCAGAAGAGGGACAGTGGGACGGACACGGGGGATCCGCCGGTGCCGCCTCCGCGACATCCCCCACCTTCTCACCCCGCCCCTCCGCCGCCACATCCTCACAGCACAAAGCTACCCCGCAGAAATGTGGATGCCTTTAACGTGCCCTCATTCCCCAAGGTTAGTAACTTGTGTTAATGTCGCTGCGCGTTTCTGCCACCGTGTCAGAGAAAATGTAATTATTCTTTAAGCTGGGGTCGGGTGTGTGAGTGTGTGCGTGTGTGTGTGTGTGTGTTTTCTGGTTTACTGCCGAAGTTTGAAGCTGTCAGCATGACAATCAACCAACTCAAAGTTGGGTCTCAAGTGACGTAGTTGTAGACAGAGAGAGCACCATCCATGACATGGGGGGAGAAATTAAAATGTGACGATATGGATAGAATACAATACTCAATAGACTGTTTTGTGGCCACAAAATATATGTAGGTATGGGCATGAAATTCCTATTTGTGGCTCTAATCTTTTCTCTTGTTAAAGCCTTGCATTTCCTATCTCGTCACTTTTTGCACATTTAGACTAGTTAGAACCAGTTAAGACCAAAAAATTGGTTCACATAGTCCCATTGGTTAGGCTCGGTCATCCTCATGTGTGGGCGTGGTTTAGACAATATATGAATAGAGGATTATTATGGACACTTGATTATAGGTTCTTCAGCACCTGTGTGGCTGTTCCATGGCCGTGTGTCAATCTTCCAGGCATCATTAAATAGTGTAAAAAGTGGGAAACTACAGGGAAACTACAGTCTGTTTCCCAACATGTTCTTCTTGTCATGTGAGGACACTAGTGGAGACCGGCTTCAGGAGAGAGACATGAAAAGTGGGGGGTACTTAGGAGGGAGGCTGGGAGCTTAAGACGGACGGCAGAAGGGTTACTGACCCTCTCAATTTCAAAAGTCCCAATGAACCTGGGGGCTAGCTTACGGGAACCAGTCTAGAGGGGAAAGTCGCGGGCAGAGAGCCAAACCATTTGCCCCGGGCGAAAGTCCGGGGCAGGAGACCGATGTCTATCGGCCGGTTGACGGTTGCGCTGGGCTGTGCTGGACAGGGCGACCCTGGCATGTCTCCAGATGGCACCACAACAACGGAGATGGGCACGGACAGAGTGAAGAGCAACCTTCTTGCTCCTGGGAAGGGAAGAGTGGGGCCTAATACCAGGCCGTGGATGAGGAAGTGAGGGAATTGTGGGAATACTTGACCTATGGAAGGTATAGCCTCCAGGAGGCTGGATAGCAGGTTGAGAAACACCCAAGGGCTACTCAGGATCCTGTTGGCTCTCTCTAACTGTCCATTGGTCTTGGGGTGATAAACTGAAGACAGGCTGGAGGATGCCCCCAGAGCTTTACAGAAAATTTGCCATACCTGGGATGTGAACTGGGGACCCCAGTCAGAAATAATGTCAATTGGGATGCCATGAAGCTTGAAGACGTGGTTTACAAGGATGTTCAGAGTCTCAAGCACTGAGGAAAGTCTGGGTAATGGAATGAAATGAACCATCTTGGAGAATCGGTCAATCACAGTCAATATGACCGTGTTTCCATCGGAGAGACGTAGGCCAGAAACGAAATCAATCGACAGGTGGGACCAGGGACGGCTGGGGATGGGCAGAGGTTGCAGGAGGCCCATGGGGCAATGGTGAGAGGATTTCCCTTGCGAGCAGATGAGGCAGGTGGTGACAAACTTTCTGACATTGTGGACCCCAGAATGACAAGCGAACTTAGAGGACTTACCCCATTGCAGGACTTGAGAGGGAACGGAATCTGGGCCTCCAGAACTGCCCACTCAATGTCTCACATTGCCGCCCCGATGAAGCATGAAGAGGGGAGGATAGTCTCAGGATCTTGCCTCTCAGAAGGTGAATCATGCGTTCGAGAGAGAGCATCAGCCTTAACATTATTGGGGCCTGGACGGTAGGATAGAGAGAAATTAAAGCACCCGAGGAACAAGGCCCAACGAGATTGATGAGAATTTTGGCACTTGGCAGATTGCAGATACGTGAGGGTTTTCTGATCTGTTAGTACCAGAAAGGGTTTAGTTAGTTCCCGCCAGGCAATATCTCCACTTCTGGAGGGCAGCCACCACAGCCAACAATTCGCAGTTGCTGATATCATAGTGTCTCTCTGCGGGGGGACAATTTGTGTGAAAAGAAAGCAAAAGAATACCTTTTGATCTTTGGAATTTCTCTGGGAGAGCATGGCCCCAATCCCGGAATTAGAAGCATCCACCTTGCTGAACTGGAGGGCAGGATCAGGATGTATGAGGACCGGGGCACAGGTGAAAAGTCTTTTGAGGTATTCAAAGGGAACGTCAGCTTTGGGGCTCCATGCGAATTGAGAGACTGTTGAGGTGAGTTTGGTGAGGGCTGCGGTGACCTTGCTGTAATTACAGACGAACCTGCTGTAGAAGTTTGCAAACCCCAGGAACTGCTAGAGCTGATTGCGCGAAGAAGGGACTTGCCAATTAGCCACTGCCTCAATCTTAACAGGATCTGGCCCAAGGTTACCCTGAGCAAGGATGTAGCCAAGAAAACTAATAAGGGGAACACCGAACTCGCATTTTTTTGCTCTGACAAAGACTTTGTTTTCTAGAAGGTGCCACAAAACTAATCAAACATGCAGGAAATGTTCTTCTGGCATTCCAAAGAAAATCAAAATGTCATCAAGATAAACACTAACTGATTAAGCATATCTTGGAGAATGTCATTAATGAATGCTTGAAACACAGTTGGAGCATTAGTGAGACCAAAAGGCATCACCAAATATTCAAAGTGGCCAAGGGCCATCTTAAAGGCTGTCTTCCACTCATCCCCCCACGGATACGCACCAAATGGTAAGTGTTGCGAAGCTCGAGTTTGATGAAAATGGTGGCTTGATTGAGGGGCTCAAAAGAGAGGTCTACGAGTGGGTGCAGATAATTATTTTTGATAGTGATGTCATTTAGTCCTCTAAAGGCGATGCCTGGTCGTAGCGTCTTGTCCTATTTTTCCACAAAGAGAAATCCAAACCCAAGAGGAGAGGAGGAGGGACGGGTAATGCCGTCGGCAGAAGAGTCACTGATATACTAACCAGTGCCTCCCTCTCGATGCATGACAGGTTGTAAACTCCACTACAAGGTAGGGGGAGTAAGTCGATGGCATAGTCATACGGTCTGTGAGGGGGAACGGAACATGCCCGACACTTACTGAATACCTCGCCCAAGTTGTTCTATGTGGGGGAAAGATGGGGAGGAGAAACAGGAGAAGGAGGGGATGTGGAGACGCAGAACACGTACAATGAGCATGACAGAAAGTGCTCCAACTACTTATGGATGAGGACACCCAGTTGATGGGCGGATTATGAAGTTTTAACCAGGGTAGTCCAAGAACAATCAGGGAAGAAGGAGAAGAAATGACCTAAAATCTGATGTCCTCCTGATGGTTAACCAAAATAGTGAGAGAGAGAAACAGTCTGGTGTGTAACAGTCTCTAGGGGGCTTCCATCAATGGCACTGACTGGTCGGGGTGAGTCAAAAAGGGACACGGAGATTTTAGTATTCGCAATAAACTATCAATAAAATTGTCATCTGCCCCAGAATCTACCATCACTTGAAGGGAGACTGAGTTGTTGTGGGAGGAGACAGTGGCAGGCAAGTTAATCTGATGCGAAAATCCACTAGAGGTCTTAGTGTCATTCACCCGAAGGCTGCATTCTGTGGTCCATAGAGGGCTCTGAGGTAGAAGTGAGCACTGATTGATGAAGTGCCCAGACCTTCCACAACAGGTGCAAAGACACTGCCCATCCCGCCATGCGCGTTCCTCCAGGGAGAGGCCGGTTCTGCCAAGTTGCATGGGTTCTTCCCTGGCGGCGAGTAGGCATCGCGGGGCTTCTGAAAGGCTGGGCGATCAGACTAGCATTCAAGATTAGAGGATAGAGAACCAGCAAAATTTCGGATGAACTTTACAGGATAGGTATACTGTGTGAACCAAATATTAATATGTTAAAATAGGGACAACCTACACACAAAATGATAACTCGTAGTGGTCATGTAGCAGCTCTGAACATTAAATTGTAATTTGGGGCTACAAAATACATTTAATGTATGCGCAAAATACAAATTTGTGGCCATGAAATAAGTATACCGTGTGCATGAAATACTAATTTTGGGCCATAAATGAGAATTTTCCTCTGTCATGCCTGAGGCTCTATAGCTGTTGTTTGCACCGACATATCGTGGGGCAGTCAACACTTACATAAAGCTATAAATTCTCAATTTATCAGTGGTAGGTCTGTGCTCACCCTGAAGCTCAGTTGAAGTCAACATGAAGGAAAGGTCAAGGTCAAGGTCAAGGTCATCTTTATTGTCAAATATGCTTTTTGTATGACATGCAGCATAGATGAAATTTCTTCCTCTCAATCCTCAGTGCAAATATGCATGCAAACATGCTGTGCATTAAACACACACAGCTCAGAAAAGATAGCAGCTACACTGTATAAAAAAGACATAACATGTAATCTGAACAGTATAAACAGTATAGACGATATAAACAATATAAACAGCATAAACAATGGCACTTGTGGCTATTGTGGGTAAAGTGAAGTAGTGCATTGTGCAATACGCAATACGCACAATGCACGTGTTAAAGTGATACTTCTCAAATGAGAGACTGAGATCTTTGTGTATTGGGGAGGAGCTAAGTTTAGCCTGAATTGCTAGCGGAAACGACAGGTAGTCTTTGGCACACATGCGTGTCAATGTGCACTTGTCCAGGTGCATTTTCCAAACCAATTGTAAGACATATTTTTAAGCCTAAGGTTATAAAATGAGCTTATAGATGTATGTAAGTGTTTTGGGTTTGTACTTTGTGTGTCAGTTACATCCAGCCTCATCACCCCAATAGTGGCAACTTAGTGCAGTGGCATTTCATGGTCTGTTTAATGTTGATATTAAGAAATGTGCGATACAAAATGTATTTATTTTTATTGATTGTGCATTCCATTTTTAAAGAAGTACCACAAACTGAACCTATTCTGGCCTGTCATGGCAACATTTTATAAGGAATGTTTTTGAATGTGTTGAGTACTCCTCTGTGGTATTTGCACGATTACTGTTTGAGAATCATTCCACTCTGGTTCAAAGAACTATTAAAAGCCATAAAATGAGATTCATGTCCATGATGAGTGCATGTACTCTCGCGACTACATGTGAATAGTCGAGTCACGACCACAGCAGGAGTGCACGCAGGCTGAATGCTTTGAATCACGACACCATGCACTCGCCTCGTAGTCACAGTGGGAGACATTTGTTGGTCATATGAGGTCACAGAGTTCAAACCATGAGCCGCGACCCCGAGTTAGCTTGACAGGATTACACGTGTGCACCGTCTGCCGGCTGAGCTGCTCAACACACATTTCTTGCGGATGATGCAAGATGCTGAAAGTGAGTCGGCCAGACTCCAAAGCCCAATGAGTGAAAGTCACTCATCAGTGACTTTTATGGTCCATTTTGGGCTTTTTTGGTCCAAATGTACAGACATTACATGACAAAAACATGTAATCATGCCCACATTTGACATGACATGCTCACACAATTCTAACCTGAGGTCACAAAATGCTAAAATGTGGGTTGAATATCATTCTCATAACAAATTGGACATCTGGGTAGGCAAATGGAGTGCCCCTTTGCTAGAACCTGCAATATTTGATCACGTCTTTCTGGTTGTACCTCTGCTGGTAAAGCAACTTAACTCACAACCGTCTATATAAATGCCTCTCATTTATAATGATTCCTTCCAATGTCAGGTTTGTCAGAATGTCTTTGTAGCCCATCACGCCAAATTCAATCAAACTAGTACTGGAATTTGTTTAGCGTTCCCATCGGCCTCTACTGTAATCACTAGAGAAGGTGGATTCCATTCTCTTACCCTGCTGTCCAGTACAGAGGCCTAGCTACTTCACAGTGGTAGGTACAGTAACACAGTACAAGTACTTTATTACTATGACAAGCCTTAACATTTAACAGCGAGACCAGTTTTGCAGTCAAAAAGAACATTTCTGATATGCGTGACTACAAAGTACATTCTTCCTATCTACAATCGGCATTTCATAAATCTGTGAGCTATTTACCCCAAGGTCAAATGATGTATGTCACCTTTGCAATTCATGTCAAAGGGTTTAGTCATACACGTTCTTATTGTTAGCTAGTTTAGCATTTTGGGTTAGTGATGGCAGCATTCGCAAAGGTATGGAAAGATGTTTTGATAGCATCAAAGTCGAGCCAATAGCTAGCTAGTTATCTCTTTCACAACATGCAACAAAAATGTTTTTTTTTTCTTCTTCTCAGTGCGAGTGGTATCTAAATATTTTGCACGAAATTACATTTGAGACTCTGTACTATCAGAACTTTTACTTGCAACACTGTCTTTTTCTGACAAATGAGTATCTGTATTTCCACGTAAGGGTAACCCCACATAGATCGAGGAACCGGAGATCCCTCCCCCTGCTGTAGTATTTCGTGAGCGTGTTACTTAATGCGGCCACAATTTAAACATTTTTGTCCCTTAAGTCACGAATGGTCCCGTACCTCTGCGCCTTTCAACTGCAAAATAATGTATTAGTCCAGTGGTGAAGTACATGGACATGCGTGAATTCTAAATAACAGAGCATCCAATGTGATGTGAGCCCCCGGCTGTAACCCAAATAAAACAGGTTGCTCTGCTGACAGGAAGTGATGTTTATGGGAAATGGAGAGCAGTACATCTGGAAGCCTCCCGAGGAAGAAGATGTCCTCATACTCCACAATAAGGCCCTGGCCCCGCTCGGGGCACACACCATGGAGAACATCCAACCTTCTGCTGCAGTGGTGAGTGAAGAACACGCCTGCCCCCCAACAACTAACATTGGCTTTATTGTACGGTTATACCATACAGAAAAATCGAAGAACACACGTGCCAATTTGACATTCGCCAACTATTAGGTGTTCAACATACGAAAAAAAATTCATATATGCATTGATTATACTGTATATCATCGTTGTTTTGAAAAACTGGTACAACACAGCTTTCTGTTAACGGTGATGCGGCTTTTTCGTCTATCTAGTATCACTTTTAAATACCTGGTACACGGTAGATGTATGGGCTGGTTCCTTACGTTTGTCTCTAGGAGGAATAGATTCAGTAATTTCACCCAATGATCAACACACACAATAAGCAACTGGAGCCACGAATATGTTAAAAGGAAAAGAACATGCTGTATGTCTATTTACAATAATTGGAAAACATTCACAATCTCTGCCTATCTATAGCCAGCTTGCTAACAACACGCTTGGGCCCCAAAATAATAAATGAAATAATTGTTTCTCCCAATGAAAAATAAATTGCTCTCAGTGTTGGGATATCCGTGTCAAATTCGTGCTGGAGCCTATCCCAGCTGTCTTTGGGCAGTAGGCGGGGGACACCCTGAACTGGTTGCTAGCCAATCGCAGGGCACACATCTACGAACAACCATCTGCACTCACACTCACACCTAGGGACAATTTAGATAAGATAAGATAAGATAAAGTGTTTCATTGCACAAAATAAACGTTTCAGAAAAGTTCTATTAGCCTGCCTTGCATGTTAAATTGCAGTAGTCCCTGGTCATATTTGTATCACAGACTAGACTTTAAACATGACACATGCTCATGCTTTAGCATGGTTGCACTACATTCGCTGCTTGGCTTTTTCACGCAGATCAATTTACTGCAGTCGCACGCACCACCAATTGGTTAAAAGCAGACCCAGCCACCAGCACACTTTTAATCAATTTAAGGAACAAACAGTAAGAAAACAAACATGTAATCAGCACTTTTTTTTTTTTTTTTTAACGAACTGTCAATGGCACCAACTCAAGACGAGTAACAACACATAGACTGGCAGCGGAGGTGGCCAGTTAACAGCAAGCCAACTCCACACTCTCATTGGGTGACACCCACGTCACTCACCGGGCTAAGCCCCGCCTTTTAAATCCATTCACACTCAAAAGCCACAGGTTCTACAGTAAAATGTGAGGATGCTGACCCCACATGGACAAAAATAATACTTGCACTTCACGTGCGCATGTTTTGGGGTTTAAAACGGCAAACCATTTTTTATCCAAATATACGAATAACCAGTGGGATCAATGACAGAATTTTAGATTTTAAAAAATATTTGAGGGTTCCAGCAGTAAATTTCAATTACAGCCAGAAGTTGTTCAGACAGATGATTCGACATTTACGTATTTGAGTTGGAGCAGAAATGTGTGATCGTAAATTGAAACTCCTAAAAGTGTATCATCTCCAAATTCCAGGTGGCTGAGATGTACTCCAAGGTGTGTAAGCCAGCCAAGAAGAAACGAGCCGTACCTGGATCTCCGCCGTCCAATCCCGGCTTCAGGACCTTGGGTCGCCCCGACCGGGACCGAGAGCGTGATGGGGGCTTTAGCGTAGTGGTCAAGCCCCAGACGTGGGCCCCCCAGGAGGGCAAAGTGCCCGCAGGCACCCTGGACGAGCACTGCTACGAGTCCTTCGGGACAGAGGAATGCGAGCCGGCCTACGAGAACCTGGAAGGCGGAGGCGGTTGGAGACGAGAGCGAGCGCCCAACACGTGCGCCACCTTGCGGCCCAGGAGGAAGAAGGCACAGCAGCCTTTGCAACAGCAGCAACCGCCTCCTCCGCCGCCTACGCAGCACAACCCCAAGTTACAGCACCTGCCCGCCAAAGCCCTGCTGCTTCCCGGGGAGAGCTTGTACGAGAGCATTGGCGACCTTAAGCAGGGCTCCGCCACCTCCAGCACCACCACCATCTTCACCTTCAACGATGGCATGGAGATGTATGTCACGGGGCTCTGAGGAGGAGGCTGCCGTGGCGGAGCCATTGCGACACGCCGCCGCCAGTCTTTCCCAACCTTTACTCAGCTAAGGCATAGATTTGACATTGGGGGCTCTATTTTCATAGATGGTACAGATCGTGTGTTTTTTAGTACGTAGCATCTAAAGTGAAAGAGAGGAGCCCCTTTGATTGGCCACAATCAAAGTGATCGCTGTGATCACTCTTACGGCGACATAGACCTCCATCTATCAGATATGCCAGCCTGCTCTTGTTTCATCAACCAACTTACCACCATTAACACTTGGTCTCACCGCCGAGCAGGATTTATACCTTTCATGAAACTAGAGCCCTAGAAAAAGTCTTAACACTAAACAAAATGCCCAAAAAAGTATGACACTGCTCACAAAAAGTTGGGGATACCGTAGTCAGCTTTTGGAAAAGTCACTATCAGCACCAGCCATGAATTTTGTGTAGCAATTATCCTCATTAGGTTCCCAGGTGAGCTGGAGCTTGTCCTACCTGACTTGTGGGGGGAGGCAGAGTACATCCCTGTCTGGTTGCTTGTCAATCACAAGGCACATAGCCAAAAACACATTCACATGTATGGACTATTTAGAGTACTGGTTTTTAACCTTGTTGGAGACCCTGAACCCATTAAATTGCAGACTTGCATTTACCAAAACCTTCATAATAAGAAAAATAAAAAGAGATTTTTCTTTTCAAATTTGTAATTTAAGCACAGTGGACACAAACATTTTTGCGAGTCACCATTATTTGGTTTCTTTTTTTGGACCCTATGCCCCCTTGATTTGTGAAATCCCCTGATTTTTTTCAGTATTTTTCCAGATCTCCCACAGTGCTGTTGCTGAGATACCCATTGAAGTGCTGAAAATTTCTGGAGTTGGACACATGCATTCCAAAGTTCAGAGAAGGTCAAGTTAGGTTCACCTCAAAAAGTTATCATGCACTTTAGGTTAATCCTGAAATTTCACCAATATCCCAAACTTTTTGTGATTATCGTGTACTGAATTAATGATGATGTCATCTCAATTTACTCACTAATCTGGTTCTGTTTAGGTGAACGTAAAGCCAATATTGTGTTGCAGGAATTGCAACAGATTATTCGTACCTTCTACATGTCACTATATGTGGCTGGCATAGAGAGTGGCGAAAAAAAACCATTATTTGTGGCATATTAAGATTTTCAGAGCGATGAAATGCAATTGAATCACTAATGTGTTGTGGCAAAGAGGTTGAGAATCACTGGCCAACACCACAAGTAATGACGGCTGAGCCCCTCCCGTGCTCTATCCCTCTCTTGGACAAACACACACACGCACACACACATGCTGTTTACATTATGTCATGCCTTTCCTGGGCTCCAGCGGCCTTAAAGTACTAAGGTTTATATGTTACGACCAAGTCTTAGTCCAATCTGGAAAGCTTCGAAGGAATCCAAAGGTTGTGAGCACAAAAGCATTGCAGAGCAATCAGTAGGTACCAGTAGCACTAGTTCATCCATAGACGACAAGTGTGCAAAGCACAAGGAAGAAAGCAAGCAAGCTAAATTCTTCCTCATTTCTAGCGGGTAATATTCCTTGATCGGAAGAAGAAAGGAGAAAAAAAAAAAGCACAGCCTTGAGAAATATTTGGTAGCACTTTTGAGTGGGCCTTCCCCTCAAGTTGGTTATGATGTGATTCAGGATGCGGCTTCAATTATTCAAAGGAGTGAGTTACTTGTCAAAATACTGGAAAGCTCAGGGACTAAGTGAAACAATTAGGAGAGTATTCTAACTTCCCGGGGAACCAAACCCGAGATGTCAAAACTTGCTGTTATATTCCCAACATGCATATCTTTTTTAGCAGTTGCTGTTTACATAAATCAACAAAGTATTTATCAAAAAGAATGTTTAAAACATTGCATCCACTCGTTTATGATGGCTCTCATTATTAAGTCACGAGATTGGAAATTCGCCAGAATATGACATGTGTTTGCCTTTTCCTGTCCGCTTTATTTCACAAGAAAAAGATATGAAGTGTTCAGCAACGACAAGCTGCATTTTCGATTCCATGATATGTACTACAAAACCTACGTCTTCATCTACATCGGTAGCATCCGCAGTGAGGTTCATGGCTGGCAATGCACCGGTATTTGTCAGATTTACAACTTTATTGTGCCACAGCCATACTGAGGGAGTCTGTCACCACAGAATGGAGGCAGAATCCTGTTTGCCTCACCTCACGCTTTATCTCTTGTCTTACGCCATCAACAAAACTACATAAATTATGTAACAACAAATGTTAAAATACATGACTGACTGCCTGACTATATAAACTCATCAGGCATGTCGCAAGTCTGTGGCCGCTACATGATTTTGAATGATTACTTTGATCACTCTCACAATCTTTCAGCTCTCGCAGTTCAATATCTCACTGTGCGTCAACGGCATTTCCGATCTGAACCTGAAAATGGTTCCGCCCAACATGGCACCAGTCCTTGGTTATGAGTTTCTCTATCTATGCTAACGAAATATTTTCCAGAGTACCATGTTTTTACAATTACTGGCACAAACAAATATTCTTGTTTAAAGGATTTTGGGGTGTAGTTCACGCCAGCCAGTTGGTGGGTTGAGCCGAGAGACCGCGGAGTGATCAGCTTGCTACTACCACGTTATTCAATTACAGTGTCGTTAATTAGTGATTTCTTATCTTACTAAATTAGCAAGTGAACATGAATTCAGGGTGGTGTTGTGTTGATGTTGGCGAGCAAAAGAATATGATGGCAATATAAGGCATGGTAGCAACGTCTATGATGCGAGAACAGCAAGCATCATGGATAAAGGGTTGTTACGGGTAACGATCTGATCTTGACTGAATACATGGAGATTTTCATACAAGATGGGTGTGCAAACAATTCAAGAACGTCCACTCCAATGTTTGGGATCTTGGAGCCCGAACAGGTCCAGGACACTCTAACCAACTTGGGGAATTCTTACCTTATGCCGAAATATCAGACTACCAGACAAGTTGGTCCCTCACAATGACAGACTACTGCCATCAAATCCCGATGTGTCTCGCGATATCATTGTATCCCGTCTTTTACAATAATTGGGTTAATCTTGCCCAATCATGCTGTCAGGGGAGGCGGAACCGTAACATGTGTCAAAGCTAGCATATATAATAACCATTCCACAGCTACAAGAAAAACAACCATGTTGACAAAGGCAATTTAGAGACGTGAGACGGTATTGCAGACAGTGACAGGAGGTGGCTTGTCGTTGCTGAATATTTGCCAACTCTGGATGGCTTTCTTAGAAAATAAAGGTGCATCATAAGCCGTAAATGTATACATGTCACATTCTCACAAATTCACACTGTCATGAGAGCGAACAGACCAAAAAATGGCATAGTTCGAAAGGAAGTAGAAGCGACGGTTGAAATGAAAGGCATTTGATAAAGAAGATATGCATATTTAAAATGTAACAAAAAAGTTTTGACATCTTGTATTAAGTTGCCCTTTAAAAACAACAAATGGCACACTTTTTTTTTTTTGCATTCCTCCTTAAAACTGGCACCAAGCATTTTCATCTCAGACCTGACTCTTCACTGCATCATGTCTGGCGTGACATGAATTGAACACTGTCTCCAATGCTGTCTGTAAATGAACTGTTTTACTTTGCTAAGCCTGTCCTGCACTTTGCCTGCTTCGAGTTGCATGCTGAAAAAAAAGCAGGGGGAATTAAAAAAAATCAAAACACTGTCGAATTGTACCTATATTAATGTTTTTTTAATTGTTGTTGGTTGTTTCTTTTTCCAGTGTGTTGCTTTATTTTATCTCTGTAGAACAAAAGGCCAGTTTCGAGTCCTTCTGCAACGCAAAGAGGACTGAACCGCTCGAGTCTTTAAAGGTGGACACGGCGCGCTAGCTGGACTCATTCACCTCATCCCGTCCCCTCCTTGTGCTCATGTAGCGTCGGCTTGGGTTTTGCCAAAGCTGCCATCTTGCTGCTGTGTTCAATTCGCATCTGGTCACTCCTCCATCGATGAACATCCGCTCTCCTATATGTGTTCAAATGTTTCAGATATAAGGCGGAGGGAGGTGGGGGTGGGGGGCGACATACATGAGACTACATTCTGGACAATGATTCCATTTGACCAAATATCCCCAGCAAAGCGTGTGATTATACTGTATGTTGATGCGATGTGTATGTACATTACAAAAGAGAAAGAATAATAAATATATCATCAGTGTCAAGAAATCTATCTTTTTCTATGATGTTTAATTGTGTTATGGAATGAGTAATCTTGTGACACAAACAGCTGCAATGTAAAAAAAAAAAAAAGGATCCTGTGTGTTGCTTGTTTTTTCTTGAACCCGTGAAAGTCGGGCGACGCCCATCCACCCCGACGGTTGGACGGACGGCCCCGCCCATTTCAGTCAGTCAGTGTGGCGGCAGCTCATGTTTTGTGTTTGCTCTTCAGACTACAGGGTCTTGTACTCCAGCAGCGTGTGACTCAAGTGCTAAGTGCAAAAGATTGTAATGTTTTATATCAAGATTACTATTCATGAAATGTCAGTCAAGTTTATACTTTTGTAATAAAGTGGCACTTTAAAAACAGATGCTTTATCTCATAGTCTCGCTTATTAAAAAAAAAAAAAAAAAAAAGAAAGGACAGGAGCGAGAAGCTAAAGGAGTTCTATTTGAAGTTTGGATCCAAAACGTTATATGTCAACAGTGCTTTCGATTAAAAATCCACAAATAAAGAGGAGTGCTTCTCAAACCTTTGGGACCACCTAAAAAAAGTACTACGGCCTAGGGATTCATCAAAACAAACCAGAGGTTCTGTCTCTGAAGTGTATATTTGTTGTAACATTAAATCGTTGGAACATTAACACTGCGCTTGAAGACAGAAAAATTGAAAAAAATTAAACTAAAATAATAATTAGATTCCAATGTTTTAAATCTTAACGTTAAATAAAAATTGTGCTGAAATAAATGTTAAAAACCTGTTCTTCAAACGCAAATATATTGAACATAAATACAACTGTGTGTTGTTTTTCTTTTGCACGCGTTTGAAGAGCTGCGCGTGCTCGTGCGCAAGTGGAAAAGGAGAAGGGGAACCACTCGGAAGGGTGGCAGGGGCGAAAATAGGTCACCCCTTAAAACAAAAAGATTTCCGCCAACATCGCAACAGTCTGTTGAATTTTCATTGGCGGACTTGTCTCCATGGCAACAGGTTAACCTTGAGGCAGGAGTCACGTGGTCGAGTGAGTCGACTGGCGCTGTCTTGGAAGACGCAGCGTGCGTGCATCGTGTGACATCCGCGGAGCGAGTCACAACAAACGTGGATGGGTGGGGGGTCCATACAACGTCCTGACCAGTGTGTGACGTGAATGAGCGCATGAACGAGAGTGTTGAGGTCACAATAACTCCGTCATCACGAGGCGTGAACGTGTGTCCGTGTGTAGGGGGGTAATTAACACGATTTGTGCTTTTCTTTTGTTTTGCAAACCCTCAAATGACACGTTTGTTTAATTTTTGCACACCCTTCCGCAGAGGACAAGTCAACGTGATAGTTGGATGTATGTGGAAATAAGCGTTTGGGAACAAGGTGCGCGACGTTAATCGCTTCCTGTTATTGAGAACTAAATATAATCACCACTGACCCCTGCAGGACGTTAAGTGTATGACAAACCTTAATGATCAAGTTTGACATTCTTCTGTTTATCCTAAGGTGGCCAAAGTAGTTATGATGTGTGTGGGTATGTATGTGTGTATATATCTATATACATCTATATAGATATATACAGTACTGTATATACATACACACACACACAAATATATGTATATACATATATTCGTATGTATATACATACACACACATTAGATGTCAAACTTCAACCATGCCGCAATGCCCTATAAAAAGTTACTAGCTATGTACCTATTCTACTCTTCCATAGTACTAAAGCCCAAGGTTTAAAATGAATACCCTCATACCTACAATTAAGGTCTCTGCCAGTGACCTGAACCGGAAAGAATTGCTACGTTTTGTTCATCCCAATGCAGAAGCCAAACATTTTAATGTGATAACTTCTTTCATTGTGATGTGATATTTAAGTTTTTTTTCCTAATGACACAGCAGTACACTTCCGTGAAATAGCCAACAGCAGCGATCACCAAGGTGTTGACAAATCCAGCCTTCTCATCCATTAGTCGTTCTGGACCAAAAAGAAGAGCTTGAAAAAGGGAATCCTGGGTATGATGTGACCCACATTATCTTGCAAACCAAGGACATTGAGAATTATATATATTAAAAAAAAAAATAAAAAAATTGGTGGCATGGGAACTTTAACATCATGTCAAAACTGTGGAAAAGCTGAAAGAGCTACTGAATGTGAGGAAAGCGTGCTGAAAAAGGAACAACCCCCACCCGAAGTTAGAGTTCAGTTAAAATGAAGTGAGGGGAAGAAAAATGGAGCAATTCAGGAAAGAAACTTTATTTTTTGACATTCATTCCACAGTAAAATACTGAACTATTTTTCTTGAAACACGTTAAAGAATTTTGGAGGGCCGAAACAGACGAATGGCATTTCCATTCATTTCAGTGGGCAAAGTTTGAAAATATGAGTGGTTTGAGTTCTGAACATGGGCACGAAATAAACCCAAGATACCACTATAGCTAGTTTTGTTTTTTTTTTTTTTTTAATAATTGTGAAATTAGAAAAAATGCAAGGCAGATTTAGGTGGGAGCAAAAACATAACTCAGGGTTCCAATTGAAGTGACTACACATTTTCACACTTTGTACTCCTGCTATCTCACACTCTTTTAATCACACCTTTTAAAGGGGTTGCACACAATAGAAAGTAAACAAGGAATTTAATAGCCATTTAGCCCTTTGGTACACAACTGTATGTCAAACACTGTACTGTAGAAGTTTAATATAGCCTACTCGCCAGCCACAATAGGTCGGCATGCACAATAGGAGATACAAAAGCCGTTTTAAAGATTCTGTGATAACGCTCACTTTTGTTTGATACTTTCACCTACGTGACTGCTGTTGTATCCTTGTCAATGAACAGTGGTGGGCACGACAGTTCGTCAGTCATGCTCCAGTCATTCTTACTACGTCATACGCAAACGTAGGCAAAAGAAAAAAAATAGTCACTCACACAGCGTGGTGACGGGTGAAGTAAAAATAATATGGAACAATGTCATTGCAGCCTGTGGGACCGAAAGGTATAGAACACTGCTAGATTTTTTTAAACTCATGTCTTCTTGTGAGGCACCTGCATGTGATGTAGTAAATATGTTCGATGCCGATTGGTTGTAGCCACCGACAATGGACGAACTGGACCGGCCTGAAATAACGATGGAAAGATGACTTGACGGACTGACGTGGCGACCACTGGTGATGTTTTTCAACAGGGATGGGTGGGGGAGGGAAACAATTTTATTGATGCACAACTACCAGTAGATGGCAACAATACACCATTTTTAATACCAGATGAGTCCGGTTTGTGAGTCCACGAGGAGGAACAGCTACATTTATCCTTCCATATTAGACCTGCCTTTGTTCTATTGCTGATTATAAAAGAACGGGGGAAGGCAGAACTTTATTTCTTTTTACTGGCGAGTCTACCGTTTCATTTGATAGAAACTGTGTGTGTGTAAATATATATGTATCTCAGTGGTTCTGCATCTGGGTTCGATCGAACCCCAGGGGTTCGGTGAATCGGTCTTTGGGGTTTGACGGAGCCGCTACCATGGAGGTTAAGACGCACCCGACTCAACATGTCAATTAGTTATGACACGCCCGCTTGGCCATCACTGGCGGCAGATGATCACATTGCATTGCTTGTCCAATCAGTGGGGCGGAAAATTTAGTTTGCTCAGTTATCACCGTGTGACTGACGTGATAGTACGTCGTGTGATTTTTTAAAAAAAAATGTTTTAATACATGCTATGTCGAGCAAAAAAAAAAAAACAAAAAAAACAAAGTGGTCGGACGAATATGTACCACCTGGTTTCACATACATCACGGAATGTGATGGGACTCAGTATCCTATTTGTATGATTTGTCATGCCAAGTTGAGTAACTTCAGCCTCGCACCGGCAAAACTGAAGGAAGACTTCTTGAATCTGATTTTTATTTTTCACTAAGGATCACGAAGGGTTTGGTGAATGTGCATATGAACTGGTTGGGTTCTGTACCTCAAACAAGGTTAAGAACCACTGATACATACATACATACACACACACACACATTATATATATATATATATATATATATATATATAAATCATTGAAGAAAATATCCCGTGGGTCTTGCTTTAAAATGACTGCCAGTGATTGAGTTTTAAGCGAGGCTTTCATTTAACACTGTACAGTATGTGTTATTGCGACTGTAGAACGACACAGAATTGTCAAATATTTTGTAACTGAGATTACACACTCCAGCTCTTGTATTGGACCTCATTAGACGTACCTAATGAAGTGCCCAGTGAGTTTGCAAACTGATGTTTAACTTTAGGAGTCAAAGGTCCCCACAAAATCAGGGCTGTCCACTCACGAAGATGAATAATATATATATCCAAATATACTGTCGCTTTCTTAATACTATACCAAAGTTGTTCCTCTTTATTGCAATACAAATCCAAATGCAGTTCCTGCGTTGAAGTGAAAGTTTAACACTAAAATATAAACGTGAATATCTTTTTATTTACTGAATGTAGAGAGAGAGAGAGAGAGAGAGAGAGAGAGAGAGAGAGAGAGAGAGAGAGAGAGAGAGAGGAAGGAAAATGAGCTACAGGACATTTATGAGAATTAACCGTTTCTTAAGAGAGAACTTAAATATAGTTATGGAAAATATATTTGCTCTTACAGTGTAAAAGGTATCTATTTTTATATTCTACATTTTGGTGCTTTGTGACTATTTCACATGAGTGTTTTTGTTTGTCTGTGATACCCTTGACAATGTTCCGACTAAAATGAGCATTGTATGCACATTTTAGTATAGTAACACCAAAAGTTTGAATGAAAAGCTGCTACAATGAACTCCGGAACAAAATCATGTTAAATATTAACAGTGTTATTTCATACAGGCTTGGGACTGCTACAGTCTCTGAGTCAAAAGATTCCTGATGGTGTTGACAAGTGGACCCAAACACACTTGCTGTAAAAAAAACCAAAACAAAAAAACACTACATAAAACCAACATTGCACTAAGAGTTCAGACTATTTAACCAGATTGAAAACACACCATGAAGTCAACTTTACAAGTGGTTGCCTTTGGCGCATCAGTCTGGCCGCTGTTCCCGGTCCTCCTCATCACAGCATTTGTCAAATACATCTGTGCCGAAGTAGCGGTCCCCAAAGTCCCCTGAAAGCACACAAGCATGAACATACCCAATTCATGAAACTTGTGAGGCTTTTGTGTGGAATTTCAGGATGACCTATAACCTTTAGAGTTCTACTTGATTTAACCTTATGTAACCCTGTGAATGCACATCTAACGGTTCAATGTTTCCATTACTCAATACAAAAAATGAGCTAAATGGCACCTTGAACTGCGAAAAAGGATGAAACTGATCAAATCTGGAGATAGGAGGTTTCATCCCG